CGTTGTAAGTACCTTGGTAATGGTATGGCATATTTTTGTTTTGTACATACCATGTAAATATTTTCTTACCAAATCGATGTAGGAGGTATGTTATAAAACGCGTAAGAGAAATACATCGCAAATCGTTATTAGATTATATAACTGTAAGAAATAGGCCATACAATATCCTTGTAAAACAACATTGTTAAATTAAATATTGATCAATATCAGGACTTTTATCAAATCTTTATTGAATTACTCTGATACCTCCAACATGAGTATTTTTGTCCTTTGAAGAAAATACTTTGTATGGTAAAAGTATTCGTTTCTTCTAGATTTTGTTTTTGTTTGTTCTGTTTTACGTTTTATCGAACGTGTGTGTTTCTCCTAAATATCATTCGCTTTGTGTGTCATCTTGTAGAAATGTTAGCCCTCGTCACATCTCATAAATCTACACTATCCCTCAGGCTGGGTCTGAAATATCATGAAAAATAAATATTTAAAAGGCTCCAGTTTGAATGAAATGAACTTCTTTTGTTACCTTGCTTCATCAAATGTCTTAAATAAGTCGGAAAAAGCCAAGTATGATTGTACTGAAATAACCTTTATTGCCTCTTTACATACATACATACGTATATATTATTTAGTAATATATTAACAAGTATAATACACTCCTATGAGTGTATTTACTAATTTCGATGTGAAATGTCATGAATGTTGCACTTCACATACAAGTGTATGTAATTGGTATAATTTACACTGATACACGAGTTCATTTATAAACGTGTAATACTGAACATTAGTATCTTTTTGATACATCAATAGATTATTACTTAAATTTCTATATTCAGACATGTTTATCTTGTGCCGTATATTTTGTATATAATATATACGCATGTTAATTAAGGGAGAAATAGGAAATAGTAACACACACTTAATATGTCACACACAGAAATAAAGCATCATTATTGTAATTGATATCACTCGATTTTTAAAGTAAAACATACTATTATCAAAGCTTTCGTTGATACTTACCTTCTTATTAGAGAAGGCGACATTATTTACTAGTATTGACCAAGAAGCAGAGGACGCTTACTCTTCTGAACAGGTGGTCTTATTCGCCTTGTACTTTTTTAGTAGTCTCTGTGTTAATATTTTGCCGTAGTTTTGAGTTTTTGAGTTTGGGTTATGATCATATGTTGGTGTTTTCTTTTTGTTTCGGAAGGTGTAAGAAATACTCGATAATTAACGTACTGGCTTTGATATAACATACTTCACATCGGTTAATTGGACTGATTAAATGACATAAAGATCAAAATGAAGTAACGGAAAACATGTTGTGTAGCTAACTGACGTAAAACACTGGCAGTGGTGGGAACCGTACGTCTACTGTCAAATCTTGATGGCCCACTCGTTGAAGGTTTACCAACCCCACGTTACCTAAAAACAATAAAGTTGAAATCATGTCAGGTGTGACGATACAGCCGCCACGCTGAAAGGGGAGGCACACGTATATCGAGATTGTAGATTGGCATATTCTAATTAATTTTTGGCTCATTTACCCTATAGATACCATAATGTTATTGTAATTCAAATCATTGTAGATAATGAATATATATGTCCATTAAGGTGTTAATGGGAATGTCGTTGTCATGTTCTAATAAATCATTAATTTCGTATGATTTGACGATAGATGTTTATTGGTTCCTGCCTTATTAATATTTATTTATTAAATGTAATTAGTTGTTCACTTACTTGTACTTTGGTAGTCAGTAAATTAAATGGCTTAGTTGAAAACAGCACAGTTTTTACTTTAAGAACATGACATTACGTATATAGTATTATTGTATTGTAGAAATCATCACTAGTAGAGAGGATACTGATACCAAAGGTAACAAACATGAACTAGTAAGTATTATACTACACAGTTTTCACTTTGGGAACATGACATTACGTGGACTGATGTAAATGACACAAAAGATGCTTACCATTCAGGACACATTCTCACGCTTTTCGAGCGTCCCTGAGTAAATGTATTCTGTGTTCATACTTCCCCTCATATTATCGAATTCCAGTTGATGTTTTGACAGTATTTCCTTGTAGTTTTTGTTATTTTTTATGTTTATATTTATCATCATGCTGTGATATAAAAGAAAATTCATGCAGATAGTTCATATAATAGCATACGCAATCAACCATGTTAGTTTAATATTAAGAATTTTGAAGCATGAATTACCATAATATTCGTGTTCCAGATCATTTGTATCCATTTTCTTTTCGTTTTTATTTCTTATTTTTCACATTCATCCCTGGTTAACACAGTAATACGAAGGTTTGTAAAACAGGTATTGTCTAAGTGTCACGATGTCGGATATAGAATCCTATATTAGGAACGGTGTAGTCCAATGAACAGGTATCAATGTAAATTATACTTACACATATGGCAGATCAATCAATCACTGAAAACTGTGCCATCATCAATATACAACGATTGTAATCGATACGCTGCCTTGTTAACCAGAAATGCGTTTGTATAATTTATAATTGCATGTATTAATATAGTGATCATAATTTTGAATCAATGTAATTAGACGTATCAGTATAGTGATGCAAAACATTGTAATTACATGTATCAATATAGTGATGTAAAACATTGTAATTACTTGTATTAATATAGTGATGTAAAACATTGTAATTACATGTATCAATATAGTGATGTAAAACATTGTAATTACTTGTATCAATATAGTGATGTAAAACATTGTAATTACATGTATCAATATAGTGATGTAAAACATTGTAATTACTTGTATCAATATAGTGATGTAAAACATTGTAATTACTTGTATTAATATAGTGATGTAAAACATTGTAATTACTTGTATTAATATAGTGATGTAAAACATTGTAATTACTTGTATTAATATAGTGATGTAAAACATTGTAATTACATGTATCAATATAGTGATGTAAAACATTGTAATTACTTGTATCAATATAGTGATGTAAAACATTGTAATTACTTGTATTAATATAGTGATGTAAAACATTGCAATTACATGTATATAAGAGATAAAAACTTACTGGTTTGTGTAGTATTAGTAGTATCGCTGTCATTGATGATTTCTACAATAAAATAATATATTTAGTGAAGGTGCCACAATCTCATTAATCACAGTACAAAGCAATAACAGATCAGAGATAACTACAAATATAAAAGTGACATCCAGTCCGACATCGGCTCATGAAACAGTGTTATTGAATCATAAACTTTAAACAGAACGATAATAAGATTACAATATTATGTGGTGAAATATTTCCTTCAAAAACTACGTAGATGTGAACGCTGATATCTTCTTTTTAACGAGACTGAATATCTGGCACCTGCATCAACCATATATATGTTTTTAGATCAAGACCAGACAGGAATATTCAGTAAAACAGATGTAGCTTCAGTAAAAAGTGATAATAGGTATTGATGAATGTTACTTACATGTATTAAGAATTGAACACCTGTATAAGTAATTAAAACTATAAATATATATATATATATACAGTTAGGTGATCACACCTGTATCAGCGGGTAATTACTAAAGGTGTGTTACCTATATACAGTTAGGTGTTCACACCTGTGTCAGTGGGTAATTACTAAAGGTGTGTTACCTATATACAGTTAGGTGTTCACACCTGTTTCAGTGGGTAATTACTAAAGGTGTGTTACCTATATACAGTTAGGTGTTCACACCTGTATCTGTAAGTAATTACTAAAGGTGTGTTACCTATATAAGGTTAGGTGTTCACACCTGTATCTGTGGGTAATTACTAGAGGTGTGTTACCTATATACGGTTAGGTGTTCACACCTGTATCAGTGGGTAATTACTTAAGGTGTGTTACCTATCTACAGTTAGGTGTTCACACCTGTAGCATCAGGTAATGTTATCCGCTCTCTACCAGTTATGAATACTCTAGTTAGTATCACTCTGATCTTAATGATCCGTCGTGCATTCATTACCAGGTGTGATGACGTCATAACATTCGTTAATAAGAAAATTCGTGGAAATTGACATATTAACATAATTATATAAAAAAAAACGTAAAAGCAACTTGTTAAGTTTGCATCATAACATACAACAATGTGATTATGATATGATGACATACTCTTAAAATGTTTGTGAAGTGTTTTCTTCATCAATTGTTGAAATTTAAACGTATTTGATAGCAGTAACAAAATAAACGGGATTCAAACAGGTGAGCAGGTTATGTCTACACGATAGTGCAAGTCATTACTAATCAATATCCGTTCTACCCCGCGACAGGCTGACCAGGGCTTTATGATACCGTATTGTTGTAACTACGGTACACAAGACGCGTGCTGACCCAATGCTGGAGGCATTACCTATGTCGTGTTGGTTTAAATCAAAGTCGACAGAGGGGCCAATTGTCAACAGGTGGCAAGTCGTTTTCTCAAGCTACACAAGCGTGGTGAGACAATTAAACTCTCTCCCTTCCCACTTGAGGTATTTTCCCACGAGTCCGAGGTCCCCCTTTACAAAAAAGACTGAACATTCCTGTACGTATACGTCTAAACGGCCGGCCGGCTGATAGCACGGTCGCGAGTGCGGCCTTGTTCATCCATTGTCAACCTTTGGGTTTATCGCACGGCGTATTTGAACAATAATTAAACCGTAGGAAAGGCGGGGTTTTCCCACACAACTCTGCGCCGACTATGTAATTACACAGCCACGTGCCCCTATTTAGATTTCAACAGATAAACCGCTTGATTGACATACCGTAACAGCCAGATTGTAGATGTTAACAGTCTCCGCCAATCAAAAGTGAGAGAGCACGAGAGTTCTGATTTTGCCGGGAAAATACTCGAATCTGATTGGCTGACCGTGATGGAATCTGACCGTGGGAACAAGAGACGGAATCGCTTCACACCAGACACGATACAATGTTAAACGTGTATAAAACTTGGCGGAGCCTGTCAGAGGCCACATATATACACAAGCAGTGTGAGGCTGTGAGACATACGAGTACTCTCAATAAACAATATACACAGTGCTAACATGGATATTCAACAGGATTATGATACAATGTCACTTAAAAGCGAGGAGAAATATTCTCAAAGAAAGGTAAAACATTTATTATTTTTAATGTTTCTAATTGTTAAAAATTAAATTATGACAAAAATATTAAAAGTCATTACTTTCATAATTCTAACTACATCACGATGACTTAGAAGGACATTTAACTGTTACTTAAGAAAACAACACATAAACATTAATTATTTATTAAAGATTTCTCAGAATGTTTACCATCGTTAAAATCATATAATGTTAATGTTATAATTTACCGAGTGTTTATAATGGTTTGATATATATTTGTTTATTATTTACATTATTGTCCTTTCGTTTTACAGAGTAAGAAGCCAATGATGGAGAAGCGACGCAGAGCTAGAATCAACAGTTGTCTACTACAGCTTAAGTCTCTCGTGCTACAGGCAATGAAAAAAGATGTAAGTACATTATTTGTTTAAATCTTAACCTCCTTCTGGCTAAATTTGCAAGCAATGACAATATCGGATAACAGACATGTTAATCTTGTCCTTATTGAGTTTTTTGTTTTTGTTTTTGTTGTGTTTTTTTTATTACAAATTTTACGAACATCAAACTTTGATATTTCTTTTGATAATACCTACAAAATATATCTTAGATACAACTTTGGTATTTTTGTACTTAAATACATACAATACTTTTTTATTTTATCACATTGACTATAACAACCATTTCACTTTTACTTTACAGACATCTCATTATTCCAAACTGGAGAAGGCGGACATCCTTGAGATGACAGTTAAACATCTGCGGACTCTACAGCGGCGTCAGATCACTTCCGCAGTGGCAGCCGACCCAACTGTTGCCGCTAAATACAACATAGGCTTCTCCGAGTGCGCCAGTGAGGTGATGCGCTACTTAGGATCAGCGCAGGGAATTAACGAAGATGTCCGAAACCGAGTGGTAAATCATTTGGGTGGATGTGTACAGACCATCAACGCGTCATCAATGGCGCATCACAACCTCCAACCAATTCACGTGCAAATTCCCGCTTCACAAAACGCAGCCAACAACGCACGTGCCATGTATCCATCTGACCGTTTGCTGGTACAATCGGCCTCTCAGTCACAGAATGGTTGTTCATTCCCCATCCAAACATCTATTCCAGTACAGACACAGTCAAACAGTGGACAATTTGAGCTAGTTCCTGGAACTGCATTCAGTGGTCCAGTGTCGTTTTGTATGTCGCCACCAGAAGAAATGTCAACGCTTTCCAATATGTACCCGACAAACTCACTCAAGTCAGAACCACGAGCAGTAAGCATTAGTCCAGAATCTCACAAAACAGACAATCATAGGCAACATGAGCGGGATATGTACAAATCGCCGGAAAAGCACGCGCAATCCCAATCACACCAAGTATCATCATTGTCCGGTAGCCCAGTCTTCTCTCCAGCGACAAGTGCTCTCAAAGAAGAACAGCTATGGCGTCCCTGGTGACAGGTGTTGCGAAAGCAGAACTATGACTATTGTGTTAATATAGAAGACTAACTTGTGATTAATTTGACTAAAGTTTACACCAATTGCCTTCGGAGGTATTCCATAGTCTCTGGCAACCCTGAGGATTACATGTGTTGCTATCTGGATTCGAACTCAGGACATTTTATTGTTAAGTGTTAATATGTCTTTCACGATTATGCAACTATTGATGGAGCTAATGGCATTTGTTGTTAAACGCAAATAGAATCATTTTAGATGACTGTTTAATTCATATGGACTTCCGGATAATTTGGTGCGTACAATTTCCACTGTCGTGATGGTGCTATAGTGATGAAAGAGGGCGAGAAAGGAAGATAATGAGACAGAGAGAGAAAGTTTTTACGGGTAGAGACATTTTGTCTCGAGATTTTTCCATTCAGTGATTTATAAATGCATTAAAATACTAAGAAATGAAAAAAACAAATCGTTGTTTTCTTATGTTGTCTCATCGTAACAGTAACAAAATAGCCTTGTCTGTAATTATTACATAATCATCTTGGTCTCATCAGTCCTTAAATACAGTTACAACTTCAATCAATCTTAATGAATTTACATCTATATAAATATAAAGCTTATGACAGGTTGAAATGTTGGCGCCGAATTTCATCAAGCTAACACGTCTTTAGGAAGTCGCTTACGTGAGCTCGTGATTTTCTTAGTAACCTTTGTTTTATGGAGGTTTTTGAAGATTGACTAATGATCATCAAAATCGGGACTAACAGATTTGATTACAGTCTAGTCTCCATTCAGTCTGTAAAAAGGTTATAAAATTAAATGTTTAACATACCGTGCATTTCCGTGTATGTCTTTAAGCACACATGAGATATATAGGTATATTTTACAATTAATCTTGTGTCGATTACAGTGGTAACACAATAGTTTACTTCAAAACATGTAAACTGAAAGTATGTGTCAACCGGTGTGAAATGCAACTAAACTGCTTACCGCGATATTTAACTAAAATAAATCAGATAAATGAGATATTTGTATGAATGAAATAATTATCTTTAAGTTCAATGTGAAATACTTTTTTTGAGGAAAGAAATCATTTGATTGGATCAAAAATTATCATCCGTTTGTTTTTTTAAGTTTTATGCTCCTTCGTATCGTAATTATAATGAAATTCGGTTTACAATTTTCATTTCCTGAATATGCCTGGTTTCAAACGTTTCAGACAAATATTTTACAAAAGACACACAAGAAAGGCACCTTTTTATACAAATTTACAACAATATACTACAGAATCAAAGGTTGAATTAAACTGCATTATACACCGTTCCCAGTATTCTAGAAGTCGTTAGTGGCGCTAAGGATCTAAAGCATGAAACCAATGTGGCGACGGCGAATACATCCTGAACATTATCAACGAAACCGGTGAATATCTTTATGTGCAAAGATTTGTAACTGTTATCATTTCTAAATTTAGAGGTGACCTACCGAATCTCGGTGTCAAAAAGTTGTTCTGGCATCAAAGGATAATTCAAGGGGTTCAGACATGCTTATAGAAATCAGGTTATGATGTTGATTAGCGATTATGTGTTTATGACGTCACACAGTTACCCATGTTTTGTTATCGTAGACATTATTCTCTACCACTTGGAAAGTGTGTCTTATGATGATGTTTATGACAATCCTCTGTTCTTATCAACAATGGAATTGAATTCTTTCGATGTGATAACATCGAACACAATGATATCTATATTGCCCCGAGAGTAACCTGATGGACATAAATTAATGCTCATTGGATGATGCCACAGTTTTCATCGACATGTTCATTGAATAATGCCACAGTTTTCATTGACAAGTTCATTGAATGATGCCATAGTTTTAATCGACAAGTTCATTGAATGATGCCACAGTTTTCATCGACATGTTCATTGAATGATGCCACAGTTTTCATCGACTAGTTCATTGAATGATGCCACAGTTTTCATCGACATGTTCATTGAATGATGCCACAGTTTTCATCGACTAGTTCATTGAATGATGTCACAGTTTTCAGGGAAATTTGAATAATACAAAACATTGTTTTACCTTCATATACCGCACGATTATGTAGAAATATAGTAAGGTCTTCTGAAGCAATACCGTTTCCAACTTATCCTGTGATTTCAGGTTTTTTGAGAAAGATTTGCCAGGTTGTGTAATTCCTTGACGAAGAAAGACAAAACAGTAATATATTTCAACATCTGTTAAAAGCTATGGCAACTAATTTGTCCACATATTTCATTCATCTGTCAGGATATAGACTCTCGTCTACTTATACACGTTGTTGTAGATAAGTATCAACACTGTGAAAGCTGAAAATTGTGAAAACTGCGCATTATTTCCTGAGAATGTCGGGTAGACTCTCTCCCTCGCCCCCTTCTCTCTCTCTCCCTCCCTCCCTACCTCTCTGTCTAAGTCACTCTGTCTGTCTGTCTGTCTGTCTGTCTGTCTCTCTCTCTCTCTCTCCCTCTCTCTCTCTCTCTCTCTCTCTCTCTCTCTCTCCCTCTGTCTGTCTGTCTGTCTGTCTGTCTGTCTCTCTCCATCCGTCTGTCTCTCTCTCTCTCTCTCTCCCTCCGTCTGTCTGTCTGTCTCTCTCCCTCCGTCTGTCTGTCTCTCTCTCTCTCTCCATCCGTCTGTCTGTCTGTCTCTCTCTCTCCCTCCGTCTGTCTGTCTGTCTCTCTCTCTCTCTCCCTCCGTCTGTCTGTCTCTGTCTCTCTCATAAATCTATAGTTAATTAAGTTATATTTAGTATTTAACATGATACATTGATTGTGCAATCTGGTCATTTTACATTCTAAAGTTTAATCATTCTACTATTGTTATTTAATAATTGTATGTCTGTATGTAGGGAGAGGTCACTTATAAGCTGGTAAAACTTACTGACCAATCCTTCTGACATTGTAATATGACAATAAAATATGTTTCAATTAAAAACTGTGCTTTCGATTTGTTTGTTTTCCGGTTGTGACTCATTGAGTAAACAGATATCAGAATGATAAACAAAAAACAGGAAAAAACAGGAAACATATTATAATTTTCTAAACTTTATATTCTATCTAAATCCTTTAATGCTGTATTGTATTTAAAACCCTAAACATCGTATCGTATTTGAAATCTACCCGAGATGTCGTTGGTAGATATAACGGTAGCTTATCTCTCGGTACATCCGATCTCGTCATCGGTGTCATGTGCTTTTGACAGACAAAGATAAAGTTGTTTCGTTTAATTTAACAGAGTTGGTGACACGGAGACACAGCCTGTAGCTGTTTTAGATAAGTAATGTAACGGTAAATAGAGATAAACAGCCTTGGGCAGTATTAGATAACACCGTTACTTGTATCTGGTCATTATCACCGGGTCAGTGGCCGTGTAGATGACCGGATGTCGGGTTGGTCAACAATATGTAACTATCCTCGGGTGCACGATAAATTAGGATGTTTGCTCCGGATTTACATTTGTTCAGCAGAATCAAGATCGATCATATGATATATCTAGTCCATGTAGCTGTATAAAGAACACAATCACTTTCACTGTTTGATGGATAACTCATTATCATCTATTTCCTCAACGTTACAGCATATCTAAAACTATAGAGTTCTATTTATAGCAATTTTCTATGAATGCTAATTAATATTACTTAATCACATTAAGTAGTTATCTATATACATAGGTAGACTTCGTATATCGTACGTAAAACCAAGTTATCAGAACAAACGAGTTCGTATAAAAACAATGACATGTCTATATGCTACAAGTAAATACTCGTGTGGATTGAAATCATCATTATCAATGGTATTTCATTAGTCATTACAGTAACAACGGAATTAACTATCAAATATCAGTGACCGATTTTCATTGCTGCCGGGATTCCGCGATACAATATAAAGATATATAATTTACATCTGTATCATCTTTATATTGGCAATTTCGACAAGACTGAATTAGAAAATAGCTTAACTGTGTAATAGTGAGCACAACTTACTCCCCCCCTCCATCCCACCCCCTCACCCATACCCCCTTCCCCGCCTTAGCTCGAGATTAAGATAATATCTAAGATGATAATACATAGTATTGTTTGGTTATCAATTCTCAAACCATTCAGTAAAAAAACACCAGGACTGACAAACAACGACAAAAACTACATGTAGAATCGGACTTTCTTTTCTTGTATTCCTTTTTAAAACCGAAGAATTAATCATATTTCAAACTGAACAGAGAACAAATGCTGTTTGTTGGTGGTTCACATTTTAAAATTTTGTTTTTAAAAAAGCCGATGATCGTGAAAATTTGGTTCGTGTTTAGGAGATTAGATTTCGCTCCTATCTGTATTGAAGATTGAGACATTTGATTTTGGTTTATGGAAGGTTTGCACAATTTTCAAAAGCGGCTCCTCTTTATATTTGAAAGTAGTCCATTTTTCAATACGCTGTACATGGGCGGATGACGGAAGGCGACGGACGTAAGGAAATCGTAATTATCTACAGTCCGATACACGTACAATAAAAGCTGATACCTTGTTAGAGATTGCCGGATAATTGAAACCACCTTGGTCGGTAGGTATATCTAAGTACGTTCATGCTGCTATCAAACTGATCGCTGTAATAAGGCATTTATCTTTGTGTGCGTTTTCTTACAAACTAAAAACAGTTGGTTAAACAACTCTATCGTGTTCTTCATGAATTATCATCAATCCAACACAGGACTTCTTAACAAATGTATGCATATTAGTAACGATTTTTGCAATTCAAAAAGTTGTTTGAATTTTATCATCGGTTCCAATTCTAGATTTGAGGTGGTTTACAATAGTTGAAGTATAATTTCAGTATATAAACACATTTATATTGGTAGTGCATGAAAATATTGACTCGCAGTGAAAAAGATTAAACTCCAACGTTACGATTCGATATATAAAACATATTAAGAGCCTCTAAGATAAAGCTGGTTGGATTAATTTACTATATGTTTCTCCACTGTTATAATGTTCACTACACGTAGTTCTAATTGTCCAGATTTGAAAACTTGACGATGGATATTTTGTCACATTACAGTACCAGAATAATTATATAAAATCCGGATGGCATCTTGATAGGGTTACCAAAACTCTTTCATTTGATTTGGTGTAAAGCGTAGAATGTGAGAGGGTTTAATATTCTTTGTGGAATATATTTGTGATATGTGATTGTATAAAAGTGAACTTTTAGAGACTAAGATTCTGTCCTTTATGCTATCTATATATGATTTAAACGAGATGGCTAAAATCCGTGTTGTCTTGTTGCGTTTATCTACTTTCTTTTCACGACTGTGTGGGAGAATATAGCACCTTTATTGATACTTAAACACATTTTGTTTGTGTCCTGTTACCGGCGGAATGACATGTTGTAGTAAAACCTTCTTATCTAGTCAAGTCCATTAACATCG